CAACATTTATTAGATTGTATATCTAAATATGCTAAATTCTTTATTATTTTCAATAAAAACGGAGTTTTCGGAGAAATCGGGAATTAAATGGGCAATTCGAGAGTTTTCGCAAAATATGCCAAAATCAGGAAAATAAAAATGATATATTTTGGAGCCTTTATAACCCTCAAGACTAATGGGATGTTATTCCCGATCATTTGAGTAACTAAATTTAATCGGGAATTCCCGAAAAATAGAGGCTTTACAAATGATTGATACATTATTTACATATTGTGATAAAATGTAAGTCTTTATTGATTACCATGCTTGGGAATTTTGCTACATTGATCACAAAAAATGTTTTAAATGTTTTAAAACAAAAAATAGTAATAAAGTAATAAATTTGAAAATAACAATTAAAGTGATCAAATTCACACAATTGTAACTTTTTTTTATTTAAAATCTACATGCTTACTTTTAATGAACAATGTATCAAAGTGTTCATAACTAAAAAATACAAAAAAAAATAATTTAAACAAAAATATTTGAGATAGAATTGAAACAAAAGTCAATTTTTGCAATGAAAATAATTATAAAATGTAAAGACAGAGAAATTGTATATAACATGACATTATATGTGCATGAATGTAATCTTCTTATTAAATTATTTAAATGTGAAATTTATTTGTGATTTCAATGAATGCCAATAAAAAACAATATTTTGCACAAAAAAGTCACAAATTAAAAAATGTTTAGTTGATTGAAATGAAGAGTCAATTAAAAGAAACGAAGAGTTTGTGTGAAATAATTAACAAAATTTAGTATATTTTGAATATAAGGTGTTTTTCCAAATCACATGCTTTTATGTGTGCCTGGATATAATCCCCTTATCAAAAGTCAGTGAACCACTTTATTTGTGTTAAAACGTTAGGATTAGTGCTTTAGTCTATTGTTTGCTTTTAAGCAAACTAACTTTAGTCCAACTAACCCGTGACTTTTGCGCTCAATTTTTGAGAAATTCACAAGCATGTTGATTACACTATATTTAACATTATCTAATCGGCCAATAATGTTATGCGCCTCAAGAATTTAAATAACTCTTGAACGAAATGAGCTAGATCTATTCTGTAAAAAGTAAAATAGAGTTCCATATGTCTAGTTTTTTGTAGCAAAAAATTATTGAGATCACGTGATTAGAACCCAAAAATTTTTGGGTCAAATCGATTTAACTTAAATTCATTCAGCCATTTACGAGAAAATGTTAATTTTATTAACATTAGGTCTATGGGGAAAAATGGTTCTGAAGTCAACTTTTTATAACAACGAAAATGTAGTACAAAAAGGTCAAAATTGGGCTATTTTTGTTCAAATATTGTGTCAAATTTCTTGAATATTTTGTTCGCTACAAAAGAATATTCACTTGAATTTTATGAAACTTTGCTATCATAGTCTTTGACATCTCCTCTAAAGATGAGCATACCCGCCCCCTTCCTAGCCCCCCTCGAAGTGGGCAAAAAACATGACAAATCGATTTGACCCGAAAATTTTTGGGTTTTAATCACGTGATTTTTTGTAGCAAAAAATTAGACATATGGAACTCTATTTTACTTTTTACAGAATAGATCTAGCTAATTTCGTTTAAGAGTTATTTAAATTCTCGAGGCGCATAACATTATTGGCCGATTAGATAATATCTATTATTAAACATGATATTTGCATAAAATTGTTTTTATATAAAATATATTTTATGTATTAAGAAAATGCATTGAAAATATTGATAATATAATATCATAATATATTTAAATATTATTAATTTATAAATACAATTAATCTAAACATTAATTAATAACCATGATGACTATTTTATATCCATTTTCATATATACTATTATTATTAAGTTTTGATTCATTTAAAGACGACAAGAATCGGATAAAATTATTGTTTTGATACATAAATAAAGTGCTAATATTTGTAACATATTCTCTAAAATTGTATCAATGTATTCAAGAAATGCGTTTATTTACTACACTTAACTAAAGTCTATACCGGATCTCAACTTTAATGAAAATGTTATTAATAAACACGGGCTTTGTGTATTTTTATATAAATTTATCAAAAATACAAAAAGTTGTGTCAAAACTAAGTCAATGTCTGACAGAAAGAGAGACAAAACAAATGAAGAGATGTTCACAACTATTAGTGATATATTGGTTAATATCAATACCACTGTCCGTGGGCTTAAGCATTCATTACTACACCCATAGCTAGTGTTGCCAACTCTTATTGACCTCCGCCTTGAAAAATCCAAAATTTGTCTAAATTCACCTTGCCCAAACCTTGACCACTATTATTATTACATATTTGATGGCAAATATTTTTGAAATATGAGCAAAATGTACATTTAGATTTTAATTTAATTTAGTTTTATTATAATACAGTGTATTTTCAATATAAAATACGGGCTTTTGAAGACAAAAGTCTTTTTTATAAAGGGTTTTTAATAAAGTATTAATTTTGTTATTATACAAATAAGCAATAAATATTATTCTGGGTTTTAAATAGTGTGTTCATTACAATAAATACCTAAAATAGACATACGGTAATTACATTTGCTTTCACCTTGACCTGTCTATGTCAAGGTGAGACCTTCGCCTTTCACNTATTATTCTGGGTTTTAAATAGTGTGTTCATTACAATAAATACCTAAAATAGACATACGGTAATTACATTTGCTTTCACCTTGACCTGTCTATGTCAAGGTGAGACCTTCGCCTTTCACCTTGACCAGAACCCTCTCACCTTGCAAATCAAGGCAAACCTTGACCAGTTGGCAACCCTACCCATAGCCATAACTATCTACGGGCTGTCAATTCAATTCTATGGGCTATCTATGTCTTTGGTTGGATTCAAGCCATGCCTTTGGTGTTAATACAAGTCTGTTATGCCGTATATCTCATGGAAAAGAGACTTTTAATCAATAAATTTAATGATATTCAATACGAAGACTTGAGAAGGAAATTGTTTGCTATCAAAAGGGATAAGGAGTTAATCAACGATTTGTTGGGAATATTCCCTTTCCTATGGTTTTGTGAACTATTTTCATCTACTTGTTTACGATTGGCGTATATATCCATAAAAAATGATACTAATTTTCTCTATACAAGTGCTTTTGAATACACACTTATTTGTCTCGTAAACATCTTATATGTATTGGCAATCAATTATTTTCAAACCCATAGACCAACTGTTAATCAATTGCTCGCCTGTTATGAGAGAAAATATTCTTCAATCACATCAAGAGATTTGCAGATTAATTGTCTATTAAATCAAAAGTTTTATAATTATTCCCAAACAAAATACATGGCATTCAACGTGTTTTACATTAATTTTAACTTTATGTTTGTTTTCATTGGTTCTGCCATTACATTCACTGTTATGTTAATTGAGTTGTTGGGTAGATAATTAATTATAACAAACTCGCTGAATTTATTTTTATTTACATGTGTATAGTCTTATGTATGGATAATTAATGTCGCTAATATTTTTGGCAAATTATTAAACAATGTTGAAGTATAAGTAAACAAAACTTTTGTCACAAATAGATTTGTGCAAAGTTATGTCATAAAATACACCATTCCTTGAAAAAATAATACCATGTAAAATAATTTTATCATTACATAAATAAATAAATAGCAAATACATAAAACAAAATTAAATCTAAATTAAATACAAATATTCAAAAAAAAATTGATATAAAAAATTATGTCCACTTTATATTTGAAGTTAGAAAAGCCAATCAACCGACACAACCGCCAGTAGTGCGAACACAAGTAGTATCCGGTAAACAGTGGTAACCCGTGAGCGATGGGCACCAGAATAGGCAGAATCGGGAGAATAGGGGCCATCGTATGCGCCGATCTTACTATACAAACGCCGGCACTCGTTGTCGAGCGGGCGTTGAGGTTGTAATCGACGGCAATACTGTTCGCTCACCACAAACGCCAATTCCCGACCGACCGGACACCTGTCCCTCATATCATACACATCGTTGGCCTCAAACTCATAGTCATTGACTGGCATTTTATGACATGTTGTATTCATCTATAAGAGCACCGGTAGTGATAAACAAACAAATAGATAACATTAGCCATTAATAACCAAACACCCGGTGCCGCCACCACACAGATAGGATGACCAGAGTATGATTTACCAGTTTTTCGTAAATATTAATCAAATCCCAGCGATAACAACACCAACGGTCCCACCGTTTGTCATAATTCATGTCATTGTAATACCAGCGCTGGTTAGCGCACAGGGAATACTTGTGCCGTAAGACAGTGTCTGACACTTTCTGTGAACAGTTGTAGCCCTTGACTATGTCTTCGTACAGTATGTCTATGAAACGGGTGTTTGTCGGCCCGTCCGGTGCCGTCAGTGCCAGTGCTGTCAACTCGTACGGGGCTTTTGCCGGTGCGATGACCACTGGGTTAGCTCTTAAGCCCGGAGTAATCCACACGACTGTCATTACTGTTGCGATAGCTATAAGAGTGTAAACCATTGTCTCGGATGTGATACACTTGTCGACAGTTTTCAGTAAATTAATAATTTATAAATAATTACAGAAGTAATCAATAAATAGACTCTATCTACATCTAAATTACAATAGGATTTCAGTTATGAAATGATAACTGTTTTAAAAATTGAAATAATTTTAATTTTTAAAAGTCTCGTGAATTTATGAAAGTATTTTAATGTGTTTTACAACAATAATTAAAAATTTAATTTGTTTTTGACCTAGCGCACACAGATTTTAATTGTTTAAACAATGAATTATACGCGGTGCTATAATTTAACTACAATTCGGGGCAATTATAATGGTTATTTATAAGTTATATTTAGAGTTAGCAAAAAAAGGGGATAAAAATATTTTAATTGTTGTAATCGTTGAAAAATACGAGACTAGTGTTCGCTAAATACCCAACAATTAAACCCGATATTTGGTTTCGGAATTTACTATCCAAATGGGGTTTTAATTTTGTAGATAAATAATTGCCTAATTTATTATTCAGATAAATTTTTATATTTATAGTATATCTAAAATAAATTTTAACTATCAAATTATAATCAATAATTTTTAAAAAAGGTATTTTCGTTAAACCCAAACCCGAGTATCGGTTTAATTGTTGGGCATTTAGCGAACACTAGTCTTGTATTTTTCAACGATTACAACAATTAAAATATTTTTATCCCCTTTTTTT